GAAGAAGAGACAGGAGTACGTTTACATGGCATGAGTTTCAATGGGAAATACTACGAAATGGATTGTGAACATGATAAATTCACTGAACTAACTAAACGTTAGAATGTGGTTTAGTAATATTTACCATAATAAAAAAATTCCGGGGGCATAGTGGCTCATGCCATAATCCCAGCAACCTGGAGGCCGCAGCAGGAGATCACTGAGTCAGAGTTGGAAACAGCCTCAAAAGTAAGCAACCTGCACTAAAATAAAAGAAACACCAGGCAACTAAAAATGTAAAAAATACCAGCGTGTGAAAATGCTGTAGTCGCCAGCACCGAGGGGCAGGACACTTACCCAGGAGTGTGAACGTTGCGGTGAGACAGCTGACCCACGCACTCTAGCCCGGCAACAAGTGACTGTACTAAAAAAAAAAAAAAATTCCGTTTCTCAGTTTCATTACCCCCTAAAAACCACAGCCACACGGCAAAATTATCCGAACAGGCCGAGGGAGGTGGATCACTGAAGGTCTGGAGTTCAAACCAGCCCTGAAGCAAGAGTGAGACCCCCCCCCGTCGTCTACTAAAGTGGCGCATGCCTGTAGTCCCAGCTACTCGGGAGGCTGAGGCAGAAGGATTGCTTGAGCCCAGGAGTTTGAGGTTGCTGTGAGCTAGGCTGATGCGACGGCACTCTAGCCCGGACAACACAGTGAGACTCTGTCAAAAAAAAAAAAAAAAAGCAACCCACAATGGGACGCTACTACACACCCACTAATTCTAAAAATTAAGAGAATAGATAGTAACAAACATTAGCAAGGATTTGGAGGTACTACAACTCGCATATGCTGCTGGTGGCAATGGAAAATGGAACAACTATTCTGGAAAACAGTTTGGGGATTTCTTAAGAAGTTGAACATACATCTATCATATTATCCCAGTCATGCCACTGCTAGGTATTTACCCAAAAGAAATGAAAGCATATATCCATATGAAAACTTGTACATAGAGGCTCATAATAACCTTATTTAATAGTTGAAAACTGGAAACAGTTCAAATGTCCATCAACTGGTAAATGGATTAACAAACTGTGGTATGTCTCAGCAATAAAAATAAATACATAAACTGCTGATCCCCATAACATGAATGAATCTCAAAATAATCATGCTAAGTGAAAGAAGCCAGTCAATCAAGAACAAATCCTACCGTGTTTCCCTGAAAATAAGACAGGGTCTTATATTTATTTTACTTCAAGAAGACACCCTAGGGCTTATTTTCAGGGATGTGTTATTTTCCCCTCAAAGCCTCAGCTTGCAGCACGCACAGGATGGCCGGGATCTGACAGGGGGAGCCGACCTTGTTGGTGGACTGCCCGCACCTTTCCAGTCACCTCTGGGATAGTAGCTGTCACGATGGGGCAGATGAGAAGGGCTGTTCATCCTCTTTACCGCTCTGAGACAAAATGCATGGGTTGTGCGGATGTGCTGTGTAGCCACGCCCATCACTAGGTCTTATTTTCGGTGTAGGGCTTATATTGTGCAAATGCTTAGAAATCCTGCTAGGGCTTATTTTATGCGTAGGTCTTATTTTTGGGGAAACACAGTATGATTCCTTTTTCATAAAATTCTTCTAAAAATATGAACTAATCTATAGTGACAAATAGCACATCAGCAGTTGCCTGGGAAATGGAAGAGGTAATAAGGAAGGCCAGAGGGAGGAACTCCTAAGGAGTGATGGATATGTGCTTTATCTTGATTGTGGTGATGGTTTCACAGGTGTATACATATGTCAAACTTACCAGATATGGGTACTTTATGTCAATCATACCTTAATATGGCTGTTTTTTTAAAAAGTAATCTCAAGTACAAGAATAGAAACCTAAAGAGCTATAGTTGCTTTGCTATCACCTCCCAAATAGTAAGTGTTAGATCAATGCAAAGTAGGGGAGAAAAGCCTGTGGGCCGGGCAGGAACCCTGTGGATTATATAGACTACAAATGCAGATCTAAAGTAGTGCAGAATTTGGATGGAGTAGAGAGGAAGGGCAGGAAGCCCTCCAGGAGATGGAAGGCGAAATGTGAGCAAAGGCATGTGTTGCACAGAACAGGAAGATATGCATTCAATGAAAACTCATAGCAATCATGTATGAAGGTGCCTAGCATGTGCCAGGCCCTGTACTAGGCACTCTACACACTCCGTCCCATTCACATTCGTTCAAGAATAGATATTATTATGTCCATTTCACAGGTGAAGAAACTCAGGTTCAGAAAGGTCAAGTAACATTCAAACTGAGGGTGGCCCATCCAGAGTCTATGCATTCTTTCTGCTATGCAACACTGCCTCCAATTAATAAAAGCAAAAACTCCACATTAAATTATGTACAAATGCAAAAATACTTTTTATGAATGTCTTTCTTCCCAATTTATACTGCTAGATATGGGCATAGATTTTAACTTATCTTCAGCAGGGTCTGTAAGACTCTATGTGGCAGGACTGGTTCCTGCCATGCTGGTTCCCTGTGGGAGTTGGATCTCCTCCTCCTGGGAGGATGGGGAGGTGACAGACACCACTGTGAAGGGAGGAGGCAGTGTGTACGCATGTGTACACACACGGAGCGTGGCTGGGAAGCCAAACGCACGTGCAGCTGTAACAACACCAACAGTGCAAAGTATTTCCTTTTCCCTGCCTGCCAAATTCAAGCACGGGCCACCCACTGTAAACAGCTGGGAAAGGGGGGCCAGATCAGCAAGAGGACCGTCACCGTGGCTGAGACGCCTCCGTCCTGCGCAGCCGCATCTTATCACTTTCAGCTGGGGTGTGTGAAAATACACTGCATGCCAGGGTCTGCACTGGACATTTCTACAAACTTCACCTGCCCACAGAGGAAGTGTAAGTGGACTTGACATCTGCGGAATCAGGGGTAAGGAACCTGCCCAAGGTCACACGACTGGTATGTGGTGGAGTGCTGCTCACTGAGAGCCTCAACCACCAATCAGCTCTCCCCGTCACACTACCGGTAAATACTGAACTGTAGTCTAACCTGACTATCTCATGACCTGAAATTTACACGGGACCATCTCCTTGAGCCGTTCTACAAAATGGGCTCCTTCCGGCAGAGGCCCATGAGTTCCAAACCTTAAGTCAGAACACATTAGTCATCATAAAATCAATGAGCAGGCATTTAAGAGCAACAGCATTAAACATCTACAAAGAAATAAAAAAAGAAACCAGAAAATGTCAGAGTACGTCATGCATAAGAGTAAATACTGCTTAGTGAAACTCTTTAAGGGTTATTTACGTGTATGTGGGTGCTAGTTCATAATATAATTTTTTTTTTTTTTTTTTACTGTGGGCCACAGTCAAAAACTGTTATAGGCCACAGCTTTAGATCAGAAGAGGTTTCTTTCATATCAGAAAGGGACTGCTCCTTCTCTTCTGGTCCCAGGCTCTTCGGCAGACGTGTGTTACGGTGTAGACATGGCCAAGTCCAAAAACCACACCACACACAACCAGTCCCGAAAGTGGCACAGAAATGGCATCAAGAAACCCCGATCACAAAGATACGAATCTCTTAAGGGGGTGGACCCCAAGTTCCTGAGGAACATGCGCTTTGCCAAGAAGCAGAAGGGCCTGAAGAAGATGCAGGCCAACAACGCCAAGGCCATGAGTGCACGTGCTGAAGCTATCAAGGCCCTTGTAAAGCCCAAGGAGGTTAAGGCTAAGATCCCAAAGGGCATGAGCCGCAAGCTCAGTCGACTTGCCTACATGCCCACCCCAAGCTTGGGAAGCGTGCTCGCGCGCGCATTGCCAAGGGTCTCAGGCTCTGCCGGCCAAAGGCCAAGAATCAAACCAAGGCCCAGTCCGCGGCTTCAGCCACAGCACCAGCTTCAGTTCCAGCCCCAGCTCAGGCTCCCAAAGGTGCCCAGGCCCCCGCAAAGGCTCCAGAGTAGAAGTCTCTGTCTGCCAACATGAAGACAGAAGGACTGGTGTGACCCTGGGCTGCTGTCTGCATGGGGCTGGGGTCCTCCTGTACTATTTGTACAAATAAACCTGAGGCAGGAAAAAAAAAAAAAAAAGGGACTGCTGATACAAAATCTCCCCTCTAATTCTCTCCTACCTTTCCCTCAATTATCGCTGCTTAAGCAACCTCATAGAGTTTTGGATGGCTTAGTTGGTAGAGCCTCAGACTCTTAATCTGAGGGTCCGGGGTTCAAGTCCCTGCCCAGGCACTGAGAAAAGCAGCCCCATGGAGCACAGCTCTGAGTTCCCCAACCCCGACAGGAGTGGCAGAGGCAGGCAGCTCGTGTCAGGAAAGGAAACACCTCAGCCTCTCAGCCTGGAGAAGGCTGGGCTCCCTCCAAAGCTTCCCATGACCTGCTGTCTCAGGCTTTGTAGGTGAAAGTGCGAACGAGAATGAAGGATGACAGCTGCTCTGGAACAGGCAAATCAAAGGACCAGTCTTTGAAAATCTGCTACAGGAGGCTGGAGGCTCCCTTTAAAAGTGCCAAGGGAGTTTGGAGGAAGTGGCCCAAGTGAGGTGAAATTTACAATAGGGCAGTTTGTTCTCATTTCATAAAGGTTCCCTGAATGCCTGCCAAGTGTGAGGCTGCAGACACAAAGAAAAAAAGATTCATCCCCTAGCAGTTAGAGTAGCTGGCAATTACCATGCACGGCTCGCTAAGCCTAGGCTAGGTGTTCTGGACAGCAAGTGAGGGCTCCCTGGAGAAATAACATCTGCTTCCCAAAGAGGAGGCATGAAAGGGATGAATGAAGAGAAGACTCAGGAAGAGATTCTGGCAAGGGACCTGGAGGTTAGGGAATCCAGTCTGAAGGCAAAAAGAGGCGACATATTGTCTGGTGGCTTCCCACAGCATTTAGAATGAACCCAAATGCCTCCCTTCCCCCCACAGGCTTGGCACCAGCTACCCTCTCACCCGTGCCTGCCTCATCTTTCCCACTTGTTCCCTCTCCTCCAGCCACACTTGCCTTCTAGATAGTTCCTCACCTCCAGGTCCTGCCTTGCCCCTCCCTCTGTGTGGAGGGCCTCCCCAGGCTCCTTCTCCCATCAGCCCAGGCGCAATGTCATCCCTATCATTTCCTAGCCCAGAACCCTGTGACTTTACTAGTCGTCTTATCTACTGTGTTTATCGTCTTGTTTATTTACTTGTTTATTGTCTGTCTCTCACATACACAGAGGCAAAATACATTGTAGCATGTAGCATGAGTTCAATAAATACCTTTGAATAAATCGGTAGGTGGAGAGGTAACAGGCCAGCTCAGGAATGAGATGCCAGGAAGTCTGGATTGAACTCCGAAAGCCATGAGGAAATCACTAAGATTTTAAGAGGAGACTAACATGACGAGATTTACATTTCAGGAAGTTTGCTCCAGAAACAGACTCCCTAGAGGTGTGGAGGAGTTGGGAGGTTGTTCTAGAACACAAATGAGAAATGACAGAGCTAAGGCACAGGCCATGGGAACTGGCAGAAGAAATGGACTCATGTGGCCGGGTGTGGAGGCTAGCACTCTGGGAGGCCGAGGCGGGCGGATTGCTCGAGGTCAGGAGTTCGAAACCAGCCTGAGCAAGAGCGAGACCCCCGTCTCTACTATAAATAGAAAGAAATTAATTGGGCCAACTAATATATATACAAAAAAAAAAATTAGCCGGGCATGGTGGCGCATGCCTGTAGTCCCCGCTACTCGGGAGGCTGAGGCAGCAGGATTGCTTGAGCCCAGGAGTTTGAGGTTGCTGTGAGCTAGGCTGATGACACGGCACTCACTCTAGCCTGGGCAACAAAGCAAGACTCTGTCTCAAAGAAAAAAAAGAAAAGAAATGGACTCGTGAGAAGCTCAAATCTATGGCCCACTGGACACGGGACACAAGGGAGAAAGAAACCCTGGGTTCCAGACCCGGCAGCCCATTCACCAAGAATGTAAAGGGAAGCAGCTGGACAGACATTTGGACTTGGTGAGTCTGTGGTGCCTGTTGGTGGGCAGCTCACGTGGGGAAAGGATCCAGGGCCTCATAAGGGAGATAAACAGGTGAGGATGCAGACAGGCTGGAAATGGAATGGGAGCTGCTGAGGCAGCCACGCCTGATGGTCCTTTTCGCCCTTGATGTTATTGGCTGAGGGGGCATGTTTGAGGAGTTTTAGCCTCGGCCACTGCAAAATGCTCAAATCAACCCACTCCAACCTCTCTTCCACCAGCAGTACTATTTACGGACCACCTACATAGCTGGCAGTGTGATCTCTGATCCTCAAGTTGGCCACATGCATCCCTTACAGATGTAAAAACTGACACTTCCTATCCACATACTAAACACAGCATGTAGTTTCTTTGGTCGAGCAAGCTGTATAACAGTGTGCCTATGGTCAACAATAACATATTAGACACTTAAACATTTATCAAGAGGACCGATCTCAGGTGTTCTAACCACAATAAAGGTTTTTAAAACTGTAAAGAGGAGGAGAAAGAACCAATTAGAAGATATTTGTGGCACATCTAAGCAAAGGAGTGAAAGATATGCCAAAATATGCCAGACTGGCATATTTATTATTTCAAATGTAAAACCTTGGAGAAACTGCAGTTTCAGAAAGGGCTACTGACCTGTCTCTTCCTGCATGTAGCAAGCCACAAAGATTCCTCAGGCAGGAGGACCCCTCCACACCAGGGAGAGAAAGTAACCTTTATCACCAGACACTGGGAAGAGGGCTGCACTGGATCTGAGTAAACATACTTAACAAAGTAACCCTTATCTTTCACTAGTTTTACACCACCTATATATCTCCTAGTGACTACCCTAGAAAATTTACTGCTTCTAGCCAGATTTTCTTTGTCCTGTCATTGCCCTTCAAATTTATTGTTCTTTGCCTGAAAAGTACATAAAAGTATTTTGCTTTGGCCACTTCTTTGGACTTCATGCTCTTGTGAAGATCCCCACGCACATGCAAAATAAAATCTGTATGCTTTTTTCTTGTTAATCTGCCTGGCATCAGTTTGGTTTCTAGATCCAGCTGATGAACACACATAAGAGCTTATGGGGACGGCCAGGCATGGTGGCTCACGCCTGTAATCCTATCACTCTAGGAGGCCAAGGCAGGTGGATAACTCGAGGTCAGGAGTTCGAAACCAGCCTGAGCAAGAGCAAGACCCCCGTCTCTACTATAAATAGAAAGAAATTAATTGGCCAACTAAAAATATACAGAAGAAATGAGTCGGGCATGGTGGTACATGCCTGTAGTCCCAGCTACTCGGGAGGCTGAGGCAGTAGGATCGCTTGAGCCCAGGAGTTTGAGGTTGCTGTGAGCTAGGCTGACACCACAGCACTCACTCTAGCCTGGGCAACAAAGTGAGACTCTGTCTCCAAAAAAAAAAAAAGAGCTTATGGGGAGTTGGTTGGTGGAATACTATTTACGGCAACAAAGCAGCTGTTACCTAAGAATATATTATATATGTGTATTTTGGGCCATGGATGATGACAGACTTACTGTTCTTTATTTTCTCCGTATTTAGGAAACATCAGTGTGGCCTTCTGCCATTTTTCCCATATGGGTTATTACACATATACTTGAAGAATGGAAAAAGTTATCATTTGAAAGGGTTTAAGCACTGGTATTGACTTCTGTCTTTCTGTAAAATTTTAATATTATATTCTAAATTTTTTCCCTTAAAGCCTAAATTAGTCTAAAATTTAGTTTTAGACTAATTAATTTAGTCTAAAATTTAGGTTCAGTGGTTGGCCTGTGTGCCACAAAGTACAGAATAATACAAAAACACCATTCTGCAGTTTGTAGCTTAATCAAATTAAACTTGTAAAAAAACAAAACAAACTGAGGCCTCAGTGCTTACCACAACAAACACTCCATAGATAGTTGTTTGCTGGGATGATTAAACGAAAGTGACTGAGCAGAATTTAACCAAAGCTTTAAAAAGAAACATGTCTGACTTTGGCCCAGCTCAGCACTTGGAACTGGCTATCAAGAGGATCAGTTTTATGCCTAGGCAAAGTTAACCTCCTGCGGTCAGACACACTGACATTCCTTACCTATCTTCCACTTGGTCCTGTCAATACTCCAATGTCCCACAGAGCCCAGCTCTGGTTCCACAGCAGAACCAGACTGCTAAAGACCTCAGGGAAACTCAACACCCAAAGAGCAGTGCTCTGGACAGGCCTCCTCTAATTGGGCCATTATCCGTCTTTCACACCTGCAGGCTAACTACTTAATCCGGAATTAGCCAGTAACCAGCAGAGCCAGGTCAAAAACCAACAGGCCTTGTAAATAAAGAAGGCAGGGAGAGAAAGAAGGATTAACACCCTGAGCACAGGGCTGCCTGGAGACCAGGCTTGGCTGATCTGTGAGGTGGAGATGCTTACAACAAAGAAGGAACCAGAAACCAGGAAAATGGGAATGGAGGCCAATGTGCACCTCCTTACACAGTTCTTAAGAGAGTTGGCTCTGCTTTCCTGAGCTCAAGGGGTCTCCTTCAGGGAGGATGAGACATCCATGAAATGCACATCATAAATTCTGGTGCATTATACAATTTGAGAGCTATTATTATATAACTAAGGGAAGTTCTCCAAGAAGGAACACTTTTGAAGAGGCCCAAAATAGGAAAATCTAACAACAATTTAATGAAAGAATTAGGGCGACATAGTGGCAAAATAATGGCAAGTGGAATGGCTGAAAAAGTACTGGGTTATAGCAGAAAACTTGGTTCCTAAAAAAAAAAAAAAAAAAAGTACTGGGTTAATGCCAGAATGGGGTTCACTTCCCAGCTCTGCCATTTACTATCTGTGGACCCCATACATGTCCCCTAGCCCATGAGTCTTAATCTCCTCCTCTGTCTCTATCAGTGCAAGTGTGTGCTCACACACATGCTAGTTTTTTTCTTGTTTTCCCATCTCAATCCTAGGCAACCGAGAGGGTCTTTTATGGAATGTGACTACAGTGAGAAGCTCACTCAATCTTAAGGGAGAGTTAGAATTTCTTTGCTGTTAGTATTCTATGGGGTCAACAAAGGCTTAAGGGTGTATATATGCTTATGGTTTTAGGAAGAGGCCTCTAGTGTGTTTCTATGTGCAACATTATCTGTGGCTCCTTTAAATTTCCAGAGCATGTGTTGATCAATAGACTACTTATACACTGAAAGCCCAGGAGTTCAGTAAAAAATTCCAACAAGTAGCAATGAATCATATGAATAATAATTGTACTAATAAGAAAATATG